GGGGCGAAAGGGTGGAGGGGAAATGGAGAAGCGTGGCAGGGGATAGAAGAGACAGGAACCCGGGGAGGTGGCAGAAGAGGAAGAAACTTGGAGGGAAAAAGGGGAGGAAGGTACATTACGAGGAGGAGGGGGAACCTCTGCACTTGTAACTGAGCCAGTGAGAGGGAAGAACTAGGGACAGAGACAGGGAGGGTAAAATGAGGAGGTTTGGGAAGATGGGTAGGAGGTGTTTACCGGACCTTTTTTTGACTTTTGGAAGTAGAGGGACGATTGGGAAGAGGGGTCGTACGAGGTCTCGTCGATACTGAGGCTTTGTAGAGAGAACTCGAAGAAGCGAGATTAGACTGAGGCGTTGAAGTAGGGACGTTTTGAAACCGAGGACAGCAAAAGGATTAGATACAGGATGATTATGGAGAGGTAACCACAGAGGTGGGTGTGAAAGATGGGATACCAGAAGTGGGGGGGCGTTTTGAAAAAACGGGAATAAGAAACACGTGGGAGCTCCCTTGGAGGCGGGGATGAGAAACTGCCATGGCATAAGGGACCTTCTGTCTCTTTGAGGTAACGGATTTTCCCGCCTGTTTAAATAGACCTGACCCAAAGGCGAGAGTACGAAGGGTGAGCCTCATGACAGTTAAGGCAAGAGGGAGATCGATTGCAAGACGTATTAGAATGGTCATCGGGACCACAGACTGGGCATTCGGCGATAGATCTGCAATATTTCGCTGGATGGCCAAATCGCCAGCAATTTCTACACTGTTGTGGTGTAGGGATCACCTTTCGAACTTGTAACCGATGTCCTGCTATATAAACGGAGGGTGGGAGTTCTCGGCTGTCAAAAGTTAAACGAGCCACATTGCTAGGGTATCGTCTCCGCCCACGGGCAGGAAGAACGTAAGTGTCTTTCCTTGAGGATTTGGGAGATCTTTTGGGGTTCCAGTGTTCTAGAATGTCGGTGCCACATGTCTGGAAATTTTGTTGAACTATGGTTATGGGGCAGAATAACGGTACCACTACAAGAATTGAGGGAATGATGTTTTTCAAGGGTGACAGGAACAGTATCTATATGGGAAAGACGAGAAGAGCCACGAGCCTGGGTAGCATTCTGTACGGTAATGATGCGCGTACCGCTCTTAAGAGCATGAAAAGAAATATCTTTACCAACATGGCGTAGGAGTGCCTTGCCCAAAACTATGGTTTAGAAAGATAGCAGTAGAGGAAGTTGGTCGTAAAGTGAAGAATTTAGTCCACTGTTCAGTCTGAAACTGAGCGTGGAAAGGTAGTGAAGGACGTGTCGATCGTTTCTGAGAAGAACGAGAAGGTGAAGGTGGAGAAGTATCATCAGCAGGTAATGTCGTTGACGTTTAGGCGTGGGACCAGAGTTGGTCCGACGTGGAACGGGTCGGCGATTTGAAAATTGCCGCACCGTAGAGGGAGAGGCCGGAAGCATAGTCAGAGGAGAGCGAAGGTCTGATAAATCGAAGGAGTCAGTCGAGGCCTCAGTACCTGAAGCGGGTGAGGAAACAGCACCGGGAATAGGTACAGAGGCATGAGGAATGTCTGAAGAGTGGTCAAAGACGAGGCGGGTCAGAAAGGGGTGCGGTATCAAGAAGGGCCCCGGGGGTACCAGGTTTCATGGACTAGGGCTGCCATGGTTAGGTTACTTCTTTCTTTTTGTTTTTTAAAAAAAAAAAAGAAAGAAGAAAAGAAAATAAAAATAAAAAAAAGAAAAAAAAAGGGGGGACCGGGGGGGGATAGTTCCTAGGAGGGATAAAAGGGCCAGAAATCTCCCTCCGCGCCCAAGAGGACTCGACACCGCTAGTAGCGCAGATGCAGCATGGAACCCGTGCCATACCCTACCCTTCATGCCAGTAAACCAGCAATCTGGGATAGCAACCTCACATCTCCGAGCTACCTCGGTGGACAAAAGAGAGGGCGGCCGGATATCCGCCACAAAGCATACCTCCTTCAGCCACCACCCCGAATCCGAAAGGTGGCTTCCAGAGCTACACCCGTCGCCAAAGACACCCAAAGCTACTCCGGGATACCGGAGAGGGATGGGGACATCCCTAGGCAATCCAGATTCCAGGGAAAACCTACGCCACCGCCAAAGAACCTCAACGGAATGGATGGACCCCGGTGTCCTTTCTCCTACCCAGGAACTAGCGCGCCTGTGGGAGAAATCCCAAAGGACAAAAAGAGGAAGGGCAAAAGGGAGGAGTGGGGAGGAGGAGGAGGAAAGGAAAAAGGGGAGGATGGGGAGGATGGGATAGGGGAGGGGAGATTGGGGGGTAATTAGGTTCGGTCTGAGGAAGAAGACCGATAGGTCTAATTCCTCAGACCAAGAGCCTCTTCACCACGCCAAGGAGCCCCCCTTGAAGAGGTTCTAAGAATAAGATTTATTAACCTAACCTAAAAGAACCTAACGTAACCTAACCTAGATTTTGACTTAATTACTAGGCCCATAATATAAGTTTCCATTGTACAACCTATTTCACGTTGTAAAATTTACATGTTAAAAAATTGAGCAGCCAAAGTACACATTCAATAAACGCTTAAATAAAAAAAATATTTAAACAACTTGTACATACAACAATTCTGTTTATTGCAAAACCTACTTATTATTATACAAAATAAACTATAACTTATCACCTAACTCTGCCGAGCAGCTAAAGTAAATACAGTGGTACCTCGAGTTTCGGCCATAATTCGTTCCAGAAGGCAGTTTGAGTGCCGTTACTGAACGAATTTGTTCCCATAAGGAATAATGTAAATTAGATTAGTCCGTTTCAGACCCCCAAAAATGCACTTACAAAAGCACTTACAAAATTGTTCGAGTTGGGAGTTGTTCGAAACTTGAGGTACCACTGTATTAACTTTTTTTACTCATTTTATTTTCTTAAAATACAGTACTTTTTAATTTTCACTATTTTCTTGGCTTTATCACCATCGTCACGCATTTCAGTACATGTGTTCCATGTTTTATGCTGTAGATACATTCCTGCCCATATTCTTGGTCAACTATCAACTATTTTCCATATGCCTTGCATCTCAAAAAATCTTTAAAATTTTACCAATGAGATTACATTTACATTAAACAAAATTACTATATAAAGTCCTGAACATACCAGGGAAGGTATTGTACATAAAAAAATATAATTAAGCTAAGGAAACTGACCGTGCAAGATAGGTAAGGATTAGGCTTTCATGGGGAAGATTTGAAAATTAGGATGAAAGAAGGTATTACTTGATGAAATGAAGTAATGTAATAATAAAAACATGAGTGAAGTCTGGTACATCTGGTCTTGTAGTAACTGACAACCACCAGTATCAGATATTTTTTTTAGAAGCAACAATTAGAAATGGGTTAAAATGTATGAAAGAAAACTTATCTGTTGCAAATGTAGCTGTGGCTGGTCAGGGTGGTGGGAGGCCAATAGTGTTGCTGGGTGGTTGGCAGAGCAACTGGGTATCCAGCAGTGCTGGTCATTGGTCAGCTGAGATAGTGAGTGGTTGGTGGTGCTGGTGAGTGGTCAGTGCTGCTGGGTGGCTGGCAATGCTGATATTTGTCTGGCAGTACTGATGGGTGTCTGGCAGTGTTGGTAGGGGTAGTAGGTAACTATTATGAAGGCAGCAGATTTGTTGTGGTCAATCACACTCACACTGCAGCTAATTTTTTTTATTTTGTTAAAAAATACTTCATATTTTGAGTTTTTTGCAATTTTATACATTTATAATTTTAATATACCACAAAAGCATGTTTAATACACCAGCATTTGTGGAAGCAATAGCTCTCACATTTAATTTAATTTTTTTTACCTGTTTGCTCTCTTCATTCACTGTATCCCACATAGAGTTCTTTTTTTATTTCAATTCATATCTTCCAGTCATAAATTATCTTAGTTTTACCTTAGCAGTACAATACAATACATACTGTATTATACAGTACAGTACCATATTACATAGTACAGTACATTACTGAATTACTCAGTACTGTGTTATATAGAAGAAAACTTTAGTAAATTCCATTTTCCCCAAGAGAATTCACAAATTTTTCATGCCATTTACCACACAAACACTCTACCATAAGCACAATATACAGAATAGACTTGTACGGTAAATTATAAAACAAATTCCATCTATGACTTAAAAGAATATGGTATTTTAAAACAATTTAGTGCTAAATAATAACCAACATGAAGAAAAACACATAAGAGAAGGTTGTCTGTATATATCAACCCACAATCGAAGTCCTGTTAAGCAGTTGGGGGTCAAAATGTGCTCCAGTTCCCTAAATTAATAATATGTACTAATAATAATAATCTTCTTTCAACAAACCAGCCATATCCCACTGAGACGGGGTAGCCCAAAAGGAAAAAACGAAAGTTTCTTCTTTTACATTTAGTAATATATACAGGAGAAGGGGTTACTAGCCCCTTGCTCCTGGTATTTTAGTCACCTCTTACAACACGCATGGCTTACGGAGGAAGAATTCTGTTCCACTTCCCCATGGAGATAAGAGGAAATAAACAAGAACAAGAACTAGAAAAAAGAAGAAAGCCCAGAGGGATATGTATATATATGCTTTTACATGTATGTGCAGTGTGACCTAAGTGTAAGTAGAAGTAGCAAGACGTACCTGAAATCTTGCATGTGTATGAGACAGAAAAAACAAAAAGACACCAGCAATCCTACCATCGTGTACAACAGTTACAGGCTTTCGTTTTACACTCACTTGGCAGGACGGTAGTACCCCAAGTGAGTGTGAAACGAAAGCCTGTAATTGTTTTACATGATGGTAGGGTTGCTGGTGTCCTTTTTTCTGTTTCATAAACATGCAAGATTTCAGGTACGTCTTGCTACTTCTACTTACACTTAGGTCACACTACACATACATGTACAAACATATATATACACACCCCTCTGGGTTTTCTTCTTTTTTCTAGTTCTTGTTCTTGTTTATTTCCTCTTACCTCCATGGGAAAGTGGAACAGAATTCTTCCTCCGTAAGCCATGCGTGTTGCAAGAAGTGACTAAAATGCCGGGAGCAAGGGGCTAGTAACCCCTTCTCCTGTATATATTACTAAATTTAAAAAGAGAAACTTTCGTTTTTCTTTTTGGGCCACCCTGCCTTGGTGGGATATGGCCAGTTTGTTGAAAAAAAAATAATTATTATTATAATAATATATACGTATGTACTACTATTAATAATAATATGAATAATAATAATAATCTGTTATAATTCAGACAACTTTATCTGTCTCCATGTAGGTTATTACTTAGCAGCGACAAGTGTTAATTATATTTTTTGAAAATTTTTTGTCCCAACATATTAAGAAAAAAAGTTTAAATTATTATACATAGCAACATAAATGTACTGTAATGGGAAGCTAAATGCAAGATTTGAGACAGGTGCTGGAACTGAATACATGTGTGTACTGTTCCTATGGCTCTTTAATAAATACAGTTGTGTCAATTATTTGACAACTGGATATTCAGCTTTGAACATTATCTGGCAGTTTTGTTTGATCAGGCACCTAAACAGATAATGTAAAAAAAGTAATGTGCAAAACAGAGACAATAAAAATGATGTGATCATCTGAAGATGTTGAAATGGTTCACCCCATTTTCCCAAAGAGGCCTGGTAATTGATACTCTGCTGCATACTTTAATGGTGAGAGTTTTCAGAAAGATGAGAGTAAGTTGGTAGAGGAGAGCAGTTGGTTTGCTTAGAAGAAAATTGTTCCAGCTGACACAGTATTGGTGGCTGACAGCAAGAGCGAGCCACACAAAGTGAAGCAAGATATTCAACTCTAACCTAAATCAAGATTAACAAACTAAAAATACAGTGGAATAAGGAGCAAAATAGATACTGAAGTAATGAAAGAGGTCAAAATTGTTAGAACATGTTTAGTGTTGTAAAGGCAATGATGACAGGTAAGAGTAACAAAAATAGGCTCAGCAATGAGAAATTGGGCATCAGATTAGAGGAAGGGAGTATGGGGAAAGCGAATGTATTTAGATATTTGAGAGTGAACACATCAGCAGATGAGCCTATAAAAGATGAGGTGAACAACAGAATAGATGAGGGGAAACTGGTAGGTGGTGTGAAAAAAATAAGTTTGTCTATAGAAGAACTTAAGGCAGGAAATTATCAAAGTATAGTGAACTAATACTTTTATATGATATGTTGCAGCGAGAATGCAGGAGGTTGTGATGCTCTGTTTGGGAGCAATGTGTGGTGTAAATATTATGCAGAGAATTCAGAGAGTATAAGTTAGATGGTGTGGGGCTACAAAAGGTACAGCATAATTCAGAGCTGAAAAGTGGTTGTTGAAGTGGTTTGGACATTTATAAAGGATGTATAAATCTGGGGTAGAATGGAGGAGGAATAGGAAACATCCCAGGAGAGGTTGGAGGAGAGAGGTAGAGGAGGTTGTGAGTGCTAGGGATTGAATATCCAGAAGACTTACGTAAGCATGTTAGATTAGAGGAAGTGGGGACAAATGGTTTTTGTGGCTTGGCAGGCTGTTGGAGTTAGAATGAGATAACATTTATAAAGGAACTCAGGGAAACAGATTAGCTAGACTTGATTTCTGCACTCTAAAGGAAGGGTGAGGAAGTTTTGGCTCAGAGGGTCATTTGAATTGTGATGTCTGTGAACTTCTGGAAAGAGAACAACTGAATGAACAATAGTCAATGTTTTTCCCTTTTCTGGATTACCTTATATGGGGATGATGTTTTGTTCAGGGTTGAGCTTCACAAAGTTATGAATTAATGAACCTCTACCCGAGTAAAATGTAATTCCAATGAATGTTTGTTCTGTATATTGTCTTTATACCCAAGGTTAAGAAATGGGAATATTTCGGATCATTATAGCACAAACCTAAAACAATAAAGAAATGTAGGAATTCTCTCTATTCCAGTGCAAAACTAAAAATAATAAAGAAATAAAGTAATTTTTATTATAATTCCTATGAAGCGCTAAACCCTTGTCGGTCATTTAACTCAAGGAGAGTTTTAGGCTTAATCTGCCAAGCACGAGATAGACATGCTACCTAACTGTACTACCGAAACAAATATGAAAGTAGAGAAAAGAGCAAATAATGTTTAGAAATGTTATTTTAATTTCAACATTTACTTTGGAGTCAGTAGAGCATAGCCTATATATGGTTTACCTCTTGCAATAATCTTCAGGTTTGAAGTGTGATATATCATTCTTATCTGATTGAAGACATAATTATGAAGCATACCTAGCATCAATACCTCAAGATTTGGTAGAAGTTCTATTAATAAAACATAAAATGATGTGTCCACTTGGTTCATTGATTGGTTAGGTATCCACTTACTGAGAGATCGAGCACTAAAACTGAGTCTCAATGTTCTTATCCCAACAAGTATCTTGTTACCTGCCATCTCCATCAACCATGCACAAGGTCTATATGCCAACATAAGCTCCAGACTAGTCAAGATGGGAGCGGATGTGATCAGTCTCTCTACTAATGTGTTGACACTGTCTGTATCTAAAACTGCAGCACTGGCAAAGCTCAGTGAAGTTAATCGAGGTAGTCTTTGGATATTAAAGTTTGTTTTACTACATATGTTGACTTCTGCAAGCAACCTTATCTCAAGAAGCTCAAGGTTGGGGCAAAGTGATATAAGCTGACATATTTCACTTAAATCTATACTCACATGTAAGTGAAAATGTAATGCACATAAGCTCTGTCCTATTCTACTAAAAAGTGGGATATATAGAGAAAGAAACTGACCATTTCTGATGTCCTCAGAAGGTGTAAAAGGTACATGAATAGTGAAGTTTTTGCATCCAAACTTTGGTAACCAATTTTCTGCAAATTTTGCATACTCCTTAATGTTTTCATCACTTGTGTTAATGCTTGCACAATGACACAGTGTTAAATGCTGCAGCTTCTTAAAAGATAAAAGGATAGATTTTGTATCAATACTTCCTTTAGGCTGACATAAAGGTTGGGGTAAGCAATATTGTACATAAGACATTAATCCAATGAGATCAATATGCTTAATGTTGTAAGACATAAAGTAACGATGCTGTGGCAAACTTATGGGTAATATAGGTGAAAAGGGCTGCAAAGAATGACATGATATACTCACTATATCTGGATAAAAAAGCATTAGATTATACAAAAATTCTGTAAAAGTTTGCCTTTTAACAACCTTCATAAATTTCTTTCTATCTCCAAGGTCAACATACTTAAGCCTTGGAAAGGATAAATATTTCTGCATGTCTAAACCTCTTCTACTTTTAGAAAACACATTAACTCTTTCATAATCAAAGCCTGAGAAAAATGTTTTGTATAAACAATCAATTGGAACCATTAATCTGCCTAAGAGCTGTTCTACTATGAATGTATCTATCAGAGGACAGTGCTGTCCTATGCACAAAAGAATCTCTTCACAAATATTTTGCCGTAAATGCACTTTCTTTAGGAATGGAGAATTTTCAATAACAATAATCCATGGTTCAATATCTCCAAAGATTATGTGTTGTGTTGATAATTCTTCTATTCCAAATGGCTTCAAAGATTTTAAAACTTCTGAGAATGCTGGGCATCTATTTCGATGTAGCTCTATCTGCATCTGTAATAAACATGCAAAAATTACACACTGCTTAGACTTTTATTTTTTGTAAAACAAATTTTTATACATTAGTTTGCCTTAAATACCTCTAAAATTTAAACCTAAAAAAGCCAAGGTTACTCCTGTGTACAGTATATTGAGCTGTGACACCATGAACAACTACAGCCAAGTATCAAACCAAGCAGTAGAAGACCTCTTTCAGATTAACCCAGGTGTTATTTCCACTGGGGTCTTTCTGTCATTTTTTTCCCAAATGTGATCTACAATAACTGACTAACATCTAGTAGCAATACCCAGTGACTGTTAGGTGCTGCAGGATTAAGGCTTGCTCATACATAACTCCTACAGAATCAAACCAGGGTTGTTTCTAGTTTTGAGCCAACACTATACTTCTGAACTATGAGTTGTTATTTAAATTACAGTACACGTATATGTAAAATAATAGCTATTTACATCCAACAATATGCCTACATCTCAAAACAAATTGGAATGATGGTAGGATTGCTGGTGTCTTTTTTTCTGTCTCAGAAACATGCAAAATTTCAGGTATGTCTTGCTACTTCTACTTACACTTAGGTCACACTACACATGCATGTACAAGCACATACATGTATATACACACCCCTCTAGGTTTTCTTCTATCCTCTTACTAGTTCTTGTTCTTGTTTATTTCCTCTTATCTCCATGGGGAAGTGGAACAGAATTCTTCCTCCGTAAGCCATGTGTGTCGTAAGAGACAACTAAACTGCGAGGAGCAAGAGGTTAGTAACCCCTTCTCCTGTATACATTTCTAAATTTAAAAAAAAACTTTTTTTTTTTTTTTTTAAGTCACCCTGCCTTGGTGGGATATGGCCAGTTTGATGAATAAAATATCTATAAACAAAATGCCTCTCAGGAGGCAGATGACACAACATTCATCATATCTAATCCTGGTTCAGTTGTCCTCAATAACATGGTCAGTGTGTTAAAAAATATATATATTTATCTATGACCAACATACATTAAAAAATGTTACAAATCTAAATAAAAGTTTAACAAAAAACAAATTTAAATTGCAAAAAAAAAAAAAAATAAAATAAAATAAATAAAAATCAACGCAGACTATATTCAATTTATAAATAATTACCTTTGTTACAATACTGTACTGACCTTTGGATAATCTGGAAACTCTGCAGCATCAGTAGTGCCAAGAACTCTTGTTGAAAACATAAGTTGAAGCAAAAATCTGAAGAGTGGAAATTCACAGTGTGGGTCCACTAGCTCTAGATACATGGTGAAGTGCTCTTTTATTTGCTTTCGAATTTCTGAATTCTGCTTGCCAAGCCACTCATTATTTTCCCACCAATGCTTTAATTTCTGAAGATGTTCCTGGAGGATAAAACATAAAATTTTAACATTTAAAACAGTCTTACTAATCATGACAGGAAAGCCCACCAGCTATAATAATAAGGGAAACATGAGTATGAAATGATAAATATTACCTCCAAAATAAAAAAAATTAAATCACAGATGCATTATGATAAATTTTTAAAATGGTAGATGTTATAATCTGAAATGTTGCCTGGATATAAGCAAAAAATATAAGAATTATGCTAATATTATTTATGGTAGTAAGGTGATACATGAAACAAGTTTCTTTTTTTGCCAAAAATAGCATTATATTTTGACAAAAACTTACCATGAACAGTGTTTTCTCATGACTCAGCTCTGGTCCTTCTGATGTAAGAATATTGTCCAGTTTGTTGTTGTGATCACATACAATATATGACTCTGTAAAGATATATAACTTTCATTATTTATATTTTTTTTATTAACACATCAGCCGATTCCCACCAAGGCAGGGTGGCCCGAAAAAGAAAAACTTTCATCATTCACTCCATCACTGTCTTGCCAGAGGGGTGCTTTACACTACAGTTATAATACTGCAACAGTAATACCCCTCCAGAGTGTAGACACTGTACTTCCCATCTCCAGGACTCAAGTCCGGCCTGCCGGTTTCCCTGAATCCCTTCATAAATGTTACTTTGCTCACACTCCAACAGCACATCAAGTATTAAAAACCATTTGTCTCCATTCACTCCTATCAAATACGCTTATGCACGCTTGCTGGAAGTCCAAGCCCCTCACACACAAAACCTCCTTTACCCCCTCCCTCCAACCCTACCTAAGCCGACCCCTACCCTGCCTTCCCTCCACTACAGATTTATACACTCTCGAAGCCATTCTGTTTTATCCCATTCTCTCTACATGTCCGAACCACCTCAACAACCCCTCCTCAGCCCTCTGGATAATAGTTCTGGTAATCCTACGCCTTCTCCTAATTTCCGAACTATGAATTCTCGCATTATATTCACACCACACATTGCCCTCAGATATGACATTTCCACTGCCTCCAGCCTTCTCCTCGTTGCAACATTCATCACCCATGCTTCACACCCATACAAGTGTTGGTACAACTATACTCTTATACATTCCCCTTTTTGCTTCCATGGACAAGGTTCTTTGTCTCCACAGACTCCTAAGTGGACCACTCACCTTTTTCCCCTCATCAATTCTGTGATTCACCTCATCCTTCACAGACCCATCTGCTGACACGTCCACTCCTAAATACAGTGGACCCCCGGTTAACGATATTTTTTCACTCCAGAAGTATGTTCAGGTGCCAGTACTGACCGAATTTGTTCCCATAAGGAATATTGTGAAGTAGATTAGCCCATTTCAGACCCCCAAACATACACGTACAAACGCACTTACATAAATACACTTACATAATTGGTCGCATTCGGAGGTGATCGTTATGCGGGGGTCCACTGTATCTGAATACATTCACCTCCTCCATACTCTCTCCCTCCAATCTGATATCCAGTCTTTCGTCACCTAATCTTTTTATCCTCATAATCTTACTCTTTCCTATATTCACTTTTAATTTTCTTCTTTTACATACCCTACCAAATTCATCCACCAACCTCTGCAACTTCTCTTCAGAATCTCCCAGAAGCACCGTGTCATCAGCAAAGAGCAACTGTGACAACTCCCACTTTGTGTTTGATTCTTTATCTTTTAACTCCACACCTCTTGCCAATACTCAAGCATTCACTTCTCTTACAACTCCATCTATAAATATACTTGACAACCATGGTGACATCACACATCCCTGTCTAATGCCTACTTTTACTGGGAAATAATCTCCCTCTCCCCTAAGAATGTATTCTAATCTGAGCCTCAGTATCCTCATAAAAACTCTTCACTTCTTTCAGTAACCTACCTCCTATTAAGTACATTTGTAACATCTGCCACATTGTTCCCCTATCCATCCTATCATATGCCTTTTCCAAATCCATAAATGCTACAAAAATCTCCTTACCCTTATTTCAATGTTTCACTGTAAACACTTGGTCTACATACCCCCTACCCTTCCTAAAGCCTCCTTGTTCATCAGGTATCCTACTCTCTGTCTTACTCTTAATTCTTTTAATAATAACTACCATACACTTTACCAAGTATACTCAACAGACTTATTCCCCTATAATTTTTACTCTTTTGTCCCCTTTGCCTTTATACAAAGGAGCTAACTGTTGCATACCTGTGTTCATAAAATGCCTGCCCTCTGAAGGATAGGTGGGAATTTTACAGTTCTTTGAATCAACAGAATTGTTGTTCCCAAGCACCTGTATAAATACATTGCTTCCTTGAGTTACGATGGACTGGACTTACAATAATTTTGAGTTATGATTTGCCCTCCAAAAGGAATTTACTTTTGATATGCATATGTGACTTAATTATGCTAACTTTTGTCTTACCACATCATCATGGTCCCTAAAATGCACAGTAAATAGGCAATATCTCCAAAAATCAAACAAGAAATTATGAAAAAACATGATGCAGTAGTTGGAATTAGTGCACTGGTGAATGAGTATGGCTTTCCATAATCAACCACCTCTGCTATTATCAAGCAAAAGAACATTAAAAAGAATATTGAAGGGAATAACAAATCTAAGCTAATGAAAAAAGAAACTAAATGTACATACAGCAGAGATTTACAGAAAATCTTGTTCATTATTAATGAATTTGTTTCCTCTCAAACTGATTTTTGCAACTGTTTGTTATAGATTTGCTTAACCCTCTGACTGTTTCGGTCGAATATATACGTCTTACGAGCCACTGTGTTTGACGTATATATACTCATTAATTCTAGCGGCTTCAAATCAAGCAGGAGAAAGCTGGCAGGCCCACATGTGAGAGAATGGGTCTGTGTTGTCAGTGTGCACCATATAAAAAAATCCTGCAGCACGCAGTGCATAATGAGGAAAAAAAACTCCGACCGTTTTTTTTAATTAAAATGCCGAATTTGTGGTCTATTTTCACATAGTATTTATGGATGTATTCTCGTTTTCTTGGTCTCATTTGATAGAATGGAAAACATATTTTAAAAATAGAGGTGATTTTGATTGATTTTACTATGAAAAGAACCTTGAAATGGAGCTCAAAGAGTAGGGGAAATGTTTGATTTTTGCCGATGTTCAAAAGTAAACAAATGATGTCATTTTACAATACATGTCCAAGTAGCCATTCTAATATGCAGTCATGAATGGGTTGACATTATTTATACAATTATTACAATATTGCAGTAGTCTGCATAACAGAAAATCTTCTATTTTTTGTTTGAATAAAAATTCAAAATAGAAAGCAAGAGTGATATCAGAGGGGCCTGTAGACGTGACTGATGAACAAAGAAAATGTTATTTTAGAGCCAGGAATGTCTGCATTGTTCATTCTGGACCCTATTTTGAAATTGTCATACTTTTTAATTTTCGTGAAATTGGCCAAATTGCAAATTTCTGACCACGTTATTGGGTAGTTGAAATCGGTAAATGGGCAGTTTCTTGTACTCAATCGATAGAAAAAATCGAGTTCTAAAGAAATAGCTATGAGTTTGGTCGACTGGAACAATGGAATTAGCTGAAAATAGGGCTCAAAGTGGGCGAAATCGCCGATTCATAAATATCGCCGAGGTCGCTAGCTTTGCAAGAGTGTAATTCCGTCACTTTTACATCAAATTTCGTTCTTTTGGCGTCATTATGATCGAGAAAAGATTCTCTATCATTTCATAAGAAAAAATTATTATTATTTTTTTTTTGAAATTTTGCAACACCAGGAGACACCTCAGGATTTGGGGTTGCAACAGTCAAGGGGCTAAAAGACTCAGTCTGTACTGAACTGTGCAGCTAGACTGGCATTTTTGCTCCAAACTGTTTTCCACTAGTTCCTATGTGTATGAGCTGCATTGGCTACCTATCAAGGCAAGATAGTACAGCATCTTGCTAGAATGCTTTTACAATGGGCTTGGAAATGCTTCTGCAAATTGCTGCAGTCCTTTTAGGCTAAGCCTTGCGCTATTGGGAAAAACCGTTTGCAGAAAGAGCCTTTTTTTTATGTAGCTCCCAGACTCTGCAACAGGTAACCAGCATCTCTTAGAATCTGTTCATACTTTTAAATCTCAACTGAAAGGACATATCTTCCTACAGTTTATAATCCTGATGATCATACAGTAACTCTTCAATACAAACTTTTATGTTCATTCTTATCATTGCTGTTGTATTCATGATTTGGTGTGCAAGCACTTCTGAATTTTCTGAAAGAACAGGCACTTAAGAATTATAAAATTCCAATTATTATTATTAAAATCCACAGTGATAGCTTTATTGAATTAGAAAACACAGTACATTGTGGAAGATATTCACAATTTTATATGATATGGATGCAGTTTATCACATCATTACTAATTATCACTGATAGAGCTTCACATAACACAATGTCACTATAATACTGCAAATCCCATGTGACACAAGTAAATATAATAACACATCATCAAGTGTCACTATTGTTATACAACATATCACAGTTGAAGTAAATATAATGACACATCATCAAGTGTCACTATTGTTATACAACATATCACAGTTGCTGCTAAGAAGGGAAAAGGAAGACTGGCAGTCTGCTAGCAACTAGTACTGTGCTTCCACGGCCTGTGTTCTGAATACCCAAGTGCCAACCTGATAAGCAACGACGATGAATGCAACCAGCAACTGCAACCAATATCCAACTTCTTGCCTCAGTGGTGCAGGAGCCTCGTGTCCTAGCACCACTAGCATGCCACATCATGTCCTGTTTTCTGCTCATGACTTTTACTTTTGTCCAAAAGCTGGCAACTGATCCATGGAGCTGCCCTCCCCTGCCTTATACAAGACAGAAAACTCTATGACTAATAAGCTTAAAACAACTAATCACAGTAGTACAGGTTGTTCAATCAAGCCTAACAACAACTTAGCAACTTGCAGCTGCTGGAAATTACCCCTATAGGCTAACTCAATCCCTTCTGCACATTCTCATGGTGTCTCCTGCTAAAACTTAGCTCTCCCACTGGTTGAATTAAACTTGATCAAGCAGCCAATCATCATTGTAACACCATGATAAATAAAATTGTAGCCAGAAGATGAAGAGTGTAATGTACACAAAAAAAAACTGGTATTTTCCTCCTATTCTAAGCAGTCAATCCTTACAAAAATATAGTTCTTTAATCAACTGCTAACAAACATTTCAAGTAAGTTTAATAATATTACCTTGTAACTGGAGGAAGTTTGTACTATGCAGTGATGAGGGGATGGAATGCTGCAACACCAAACTAACCAACTTCTCTAAGCCTTGCTCCTGCAAGCACTTTGGGGTATGGGATGGTATAATAGTTTCATTTTCCTGTGTTGCCATTTTAAGTAATCTTGCTGCAAGTATCTGACAAATGTTCTATGACTGCCACTCTCACTCATTCCACAGGATGAACCTTGTTATATATAAAAAAAAAAAAGTCAGTTACGAAAAAAAAAACCTTACTGGATCAGTTTATCCTACCAAGGAAATTTTTTTTAGCATCATTAAATAAAGGTTTCCCTCCACAAAAAAAAAATAAAGTACCAGATTATAGTTTGCTAAATTCTTTCATTATCTTGTGGTTTTAGAGTTGATTAGTTAGGTGAGGAGGAGGATTTCGATGTTTGAAAGGTTTGTCATTTGCTATTATACTGGTCGAACATATTCCTAGGTGATTATAACAGATATCAAATAATTTTATGTAATCAACCTTTCAATGCAATATTACAAGTGTGATTTCTCATTCTATCATTCATCTTATATTTTATACGAGGCAATGTAAACAATTTTAATATATCTATACATTATCATAGCAACAAATAATTATATTATTAGTACAGTATATGGGAGTCATATGTAGATTTGTACTAGGTAGTCTTTCCCTGCAAGATTTAGGCTAAACAATTTAAATGCTACTCTTTTTTTTTTTTTAACATAATGGCTGTGTGCCAAGCCATAATTAACACGTTGTTAGGTAAGACACATATGTAACAGTTAGGTATCTTTATTTCGAAATGTTTCGTCTACACAGTAGGCTTCTTCAGTCGAGTACAGAAAAGTTGATAGAAGCAGAAGAGACTTGAAGACGATGTAATCAGTCCATCACCCTTGAAGTTTTGAGGTGGTCAGTCCCTCAGTTTGGAGAAGAGTATTGTTCCATAGTCTGAAACAATATGGAGTTGAAGTGATAGGATGGAGCCTTATATAGCACCAGGAGATGAGACGTAGGTCACTAGTAGAGGTGAGAACTTAGACGTTGGGAGGTCAGGTCCCTCTCAAATCCAGCCATTCTCACTAGTAGAGGTTGTCGAAGTTGATTTCAGGTCTGTACCAAGATACCCTTGAGAGGGACCTGACCTCCCAACGTCTACGTTCTCACCTCTACTAGTGACCTACGTCTCACCTCCTGGCGTTATATAAGGCTCCATCCTATCACTTCAACTCCATATTGTTTCAGACTATGGAACAATACTCTTCTCCAAACTGAGGGACTGACCACCTCAAAACTTCAAGGGTGATGGACTGATTACATCGTCTTCAAGTCTCTTCTGCTTCTATCAACTTTTCTGTACTCGACTGAAGAAGCCTACTGTGTAGGCGAAACGTTTCGAAATAAAGATACCTAACTGTTGCATATGTGTCTTACCTAACAACCTGTTGGTATTTTATACCATTTTATGTTCACTCTGTCAGACACTGCAACACAAGGGTATCTTGGTACAGACCTGAAATCAACTTCGACAACTTCTACTAGTGAGAATGGCTGGATTTGAGAGGGACCTGACCTCCCAACGTCTATGTTCTCACCTCTACTAGTGACCTATGTCTCACCTCCTGGCGCTATATAAGGCTCCATCCTATCACTTCAACTCCATATTGTTTCAGACTATGGAACAATACTCTTCTCCAGACTGAGGGACTGACCACCTCAAAACTTCAAGGGTGATGGACTGATTACATCGTCTTCAAGTCTCTTCTGCTTCTATCAACTTTTCTGTACTCGACTGAAGAAGCCTACTGTGTAGGCAAAACGTTTCAAAATAAAGATACCTAACTGTTGCATATGTGTCTTACCTAACAACCTGTCGGTATTTTATACCATTTTATGTTCACCCATAATTAACACTCGTGAATTTAAAGATGAAAGATAAAGATAAAGATTTTATTTCTTTGTAAAGATTGCAATATGTAATTACAATTTTGGTTTAATAACTACAAAGAAAGCCACTATCATGCCAGGGCATTTCGGGCAGACTAATCCTAGTACATAATAACTACTTAAACCTAGACAAGATAATAGTGGTTAAGTTTATTAAAAACTTATTTAATCTTAATACTAATGTGAGGTAGTCACGGTGGAGGTTTATAAGAATAATAATCTTAAAGTTGCACATAATAAAAACAATATTACAATTAATCGTTCAAGCAGTATTATTTAATGGATTGGCAGTTGCTTAATAGACTAGAGTCACTTAATATAATAAATGATTAGAAGTTGTTTTGGTTGGTTTGGTTAGTATTGAGAGATGAGATGATTTTTAAGCAAAGTCCTAAATTTATAAGTAGTCAGAGGGATCCTTTAACGGTTCAGGTAGTGAGCTCCAGATCTTTGGGCCCTTTATGTGCACTATTTTTTTGCACAGTGTGAGAGTGACATGAGGGATGTCGAAGGGTGCCTTATGCATTGTATTGTGACTGCGTTCTGTTGAGGCTATCAAGGAGAAGTTTAAGTGGAGGGTTCATATTGGAGTTTAATGTTCTGTATCTGTAGTAGGCACAATAATACGAGTGTATGTCTCATATATTTAACAAGTTCAGGCTTTTGAAGAGTGGTGGGGTGTGTTGCCCAGCACAGGAGCTGGTAATCATCCGCACAGCAGTTTTTTGTTGGGTTATTAAAGGTTTAAGGTGGCTGGCTGTGGTTGATCCTCAGGCACAAATACCATAGGTGAGGTAGGTATATATTAACGAGTTGTATAGGGTAAGAAGTGTCGTTTGGGGTACATAGTATCGTATTTTGGAAAGGATGCCTACTGATTTGGAAATTTTCTTGGATATATGTTGGATGTGGGGCCACCCTGCCTTGGTGGGAATCGGCCAGTGTGATAATAATAATAAAATAATAATGTTGGATGTGGGAATGAAATTTAAGATTACAGTCAAGGAGACGACCTAGATATTTACCCTCAAACATGTACACATCACCATTATTATTACTGTACCTAAAAGAAACCTTTCGAGTTGGTCTTTGGCATTCCTTATGCCTTATTTTGACCTCTCAATTTGAATACACTGGTCAACAAGGTGACCCCTTCCTCTTTAGATTTCTCTGTAAATGCCCCTCTTTTTACCGACAAGGGAATTCAGTCTGTTTTTCCATTTAGGGTCATTTATATTCAACCTAAATTATCTACAGTACAGTGGACCCCCAAGTTTTGTGATTAATCCGTTCCAGAGAGTCTGTCGAATGACGAAATTGCCGAATGGCGAAACCATTTTCCCCATAAGAAATAATGGAAATAAAATTAATCCGTTCCAGACACCCAAAAATGTTAAAATATTTTTTTTCAAATTAAATAAAGATTTACATACTGAAAACAATGAGAAATCAAGTACAGTGGACCCTCGACCAACTATGGCATCGTATAACATTAAATCCGACTAGCGATACATTTTAAAGCAAAAATTTTGCCTCGACTAGCGCTAAAAAACTCGACCAACGCGATTCGTTCCGTTCGAGACACGTCCACATGTGGCCTGAGCGCGCCTCACTTGTCCCATGGGTGCCAGTGTTTACAAGCCAGCCAGCCACCGAGGTCGCATCCAAACATACAATCGGAACATTTCATATTATCACAGCGTTTTTAGTGATTGCACCTGCAAAATAAGTCACCGTGGGCCCCAAGAAAGCTTCTAGTGCCAACCCTACAGCAAAAAGGGTGAGAATTACTATGGATATGAAGAAAGAGATCATTGCTAAGTATGAAAGTGGAGTGCGTGTCTCCGAGCTGGCCAGGTTGTACACAAAACCCCAATCAACCATCGCTACTATTGTGGCCAAGAAAACGGCAATCAAGGAAGCTGTTCTTGCCAAAGGTGCAACTATGTTTTCGAAACTGAGATTGCAAGTGATAGAAGATGTTGAGCGACTGTTATTGGTGTGGATAAATGAAAAACAGATAGCAGGAGATAGCATCTCTCAAGCGATCATATGTGAAAAGGCTAGGAAGTTGCATGAGGATTTAATTAGAAAAATGCCTGCAACTAGTGGTGATGTGAGTGAATTTAAGGCCAGCAAAGGTCGGTTTGAGAGATTTAAGAATCGTAGTGGCATACATAGTGTGATAAGGCATGGCGAGGCTGCCAGTTCGGACCACAAAGCAGCTGAAAAATATGTGCAGGAATTCAAGGAGTACATAGACAGTGAAGGACTGAAACCTGAACAAGTGTTTGTGACGAAACAGGCCTGTTTTGGAAGAAAATGCCAAGCAGGACCTACATTACTCAGGAGGAAAAGGCACTCCCAGGACATAAGCCTATGAAAGACAGGCTTACTCTGTTGATGTGTGCTAATGCTAGTGGTGATTGCAAAGTGAAGCCTTTATTGGTGTATCACTCTGAAACTCCCAGAGTGTTCAGGAAAAACAATGTCCTCAAGGCTAATTTGAGCGTGCTGTGGAGGGCAAACAGTAAGGCAGAGGTCACTAGGGACTTTTTCTATGACTGGTTACACCATGCATTTGCCCCACTGTGAAAAATTACCTCCTGGAAAATAAATTTGACCTTAAGTGCCTCCTGGTATTAGACAATACTCCTGGTCATCCTTCAGACTTGACAGAGCAACTTTCTGGGGACATGAGCTTCATCAAGGTCAAGTTTTTGCCTCCTAATACCACTCCTCTCCTGCAGCCCACGGACCAGCAGGTCACTGCAAACTTCAAAAAGCTCTACACAAAAGCTATGTTTGAAAGGTGCTTTGTAGTGACCTCAGAAACTCAATTGACTCTAAGAGAGTTTTGGAGAGATCACTTTAGCATCCTCAATTGTGTAAACATTATAGGTAAGGCTTCGGAGGGAGTGACTAAGAGGACCTTGAATTCTGCTTGGAAGAAACTGTGGCCAGAATGTGCAGACAAAAGGGATTTTGAAGGATTTGAGGCTAACCCTGAGAAGCCTATGCCAGTTGTGGAATCAATTGTGGCATTGGGGAAGTCCTTGGGGTTGGAGGTTAGTGGGGAGGATGTGGAAGAGTTGGTTGAGGAGGACAATGAAGAACTAACCACTGATGAGCTGCAAGATCATCTTCAACAGCAAGAGGCCAGACCTGAGGAAACTGCTCCGGAGGAGGGGATAGAGAAATTGAAGAAGTTGTCTATTTCAAAGATTAAGGAAATGTGTGCAATGTAGCTTAAT